TTAAAATTTTAAATTTTAAATTATTGAATTACCTGTTAAAGCTAAACCTTAAGCTTGCTTCGTGCTCCTCTAGGGTAATTATTTTTCTTTATTACCATCTGCCAATCAGTTGAGTGGAATCAGGATTAGACTAAACGCTGAGCCTTTTTTTCTTTTAATCTTAGCTTGAATTTTTTTTTTTTTTTTTCACCTTGTAAAAGGATTTAAGGTAGACCTTCGACTTAATAAGAAACAACCATTTAAGGTAGACCTTCGACTTACTTTTTTGTGATCGTGGTGGGGTCCATATTAAGGGAAAAAATGTCATATCAAAACATAATAAAAAACATATGTGATTTAAAAAAATTAAAATTTCACTTATTATAAATTAATTTTAAGTTAAATATAAACTTTATGTTAAAGTTTAAGCATTTAATTTTCACATGAGCAGGACCTCTCAATATATAGCCTAAGATTCTTGATTCGGAATTAATAAACTGCTATTGCAACATACCACCATGGAATTGATGAATTGTAACCCCATACGTAATGTATGAATCTTGTAATTAAATTTTATTAAAATTTTGTTGTAATTGTAAACTTTTTATAAGAAGTAGATATTGAAAAAATGAATAGGAAGATATTAGATGGGTCTCACATTAAAAAAAATAGAAAAAGTATGTCCATAAAATGTAAAAAGAAAAATTTGCTTATCAAGTATTGTCATAGGACCAACGAGAGGTTGGATCAAGTGGTAAGCGGCTTGTTCCAGCTTAAGTAAGGTATCGAGTTTGAGCCCTTGTGTACGCAGCAGTTCTCGCTGGGAGACTCACCCATCATTTCCAGGTGCGCGATGCGGGTCAGGTTCGGATTAGTCGGGACGAAACCCCGAATACCGGACGAGAAACCAAAAAAAAAAAAAAAAAGAAAGAAAGAAAGTATTGTCATAGGTAAATTAAAGACTACAAACATTAATTTTTATTTTTTTATTGTAATAATGAGGTGTAAACATACAAAATTAATCCTAAATAAATTATGCTTTCTTAAAATGTATGGTTATTGCCACACAAAATATTTATTATTATTAAAAATAATTCATAATTATAGTTATTAAATAGTAAAATAATTGATATTTATTATTTAATAAAATAAAATAAATATATAAATTAATATTTTTAACTATTATAATTAGTTGTTTTAAAAAATATATAAATTAATAAAAATAATAAAATTAAATACATTTATATTGTATTATTTTTAGGTTCTAAGTTATAACACAAGCTAGTGTAATTGCGTGAAGACCGTGTGGCAATGTCCTCGCGTCTTCTCAAGTGTTATATCTGTTTTTCATGGTAAGTTTGCTAAATTTGATTGATTGGTCTAATCAAGTCGTGCACCATATGGGATTATTATCACATCATAAAAAGTTAATATCACATATTTTTAATATAATTATTTATTATATTTTTATATTATATATATTTTAAAAATTTATATTTTTTGTGTCTTAATAAATTAAATGATATAATAATTAATTAAAAAAAAAAGATATGACATTAATAATTGAGAATATGACAATAATATCACCTACTACATGATTAATTAGGTTATGACAAAAAAAAAATACTAAAGTTATTAAAATTGTAAAATGTTATTTTTAAAAATATTAATTTTATTTAATATAATTGATAAAAATAATTAATAATTATAATTATTAACTAATAACGGATAAAATAATATTATTATTCATTAACAAACTAAAATCAATTAATAAAACTAATATATTTAAAAACTACTTAAGAATATATATTAAATTTTGAATAATTTTAATATTTTTTAGGGTGACAATAATCACATTTTATACACGTAAATGTTGAATAGTTTTATAATTTTCAATTGGTGGAGGAGATCAGTGAACTCAAAATGTGAATGTAAATAAAAGCTTTGTCTTTTCCTTCCTTTCTGTAGGCGGGATTTTTCGATTTCACCAAATTTATTCTCTAACCATTGTAAATTAGTAACCATGACCCCATAATTTTTGATTTGCAGAAAACCTATCTTCGCCACCTTTCATTTTTATATACTATTTTTTCGTAGGTCCTAGGTCTCAACAAATCCGTTGTCGTCCAGCGGTTAGGATATCTGGCTTTCACCCAGGAGACCCGGGTTCGATTCCCGGCAACGGAAAGTTTTCCTTTTTTCTTGTTTCTTGTTAAATTCCTTAACAAAAGAGATTTGAATTTTTGCTCGGCCCATAAAAAATAGGGTTCTCAATTTCTCGCCTGACGGGGCTTTACCAATTCAAAACCCAACAATTTAGAAGAGGCCCAGATGGAAATAGCTTAGCTTATGATCCAACACAAGTAAATATACCCCAAACCAAACAAATTCACCTTTTTTTTTTTTTTTCTTTTTCTACAAATAACCTGTTAGTATGAGTGAAAAGAATTTCGTTTCCCTTAAATAAGATCTTTAGTTCGAGTCTTGTGAATGTAGAAATAGGTGCGTGGAGAGCTTTCCCTAAATAGAATCCGACACGATTTAATTCTAGATTAATTAGATCTAATATGGTTATCAGATATTAAGAGGTTATTATCAAAAAAATTATTCACCTTTTTTTCCAAAAAATCAAAAAGGGGCTTGGGTCGGTTTGTGCAAATAACACCATAAATTTTGATGATATCCTTGGCCATATATCTCGGTCGAGGAAACCAAAAGAGCTGGATTATGACCTAAGTGCACGAGCCAAGAGCTTGAGAGGACCGTATTTCCTGGAATGGGCCTGAACCCTGGATTATGTCTGGCGAAACTTATGCAACCAAGGAAGGATACGCATCTCCTCCTGTACTTCAGTTTTGAAACGCACACACAAGTACACAACAACATAATCGCCCTCTACGGCCCTGATCCTGCCGGAGAGCTCAATGCACCTTCCTCGACCTTCTCTGAGACTGACCTGATCACCACAAAGGATGGCATTGCCTCTTTTGTTCTTGAGTGCACTCTTAGACAGATCAAATTATAAATAAATCTGATAAACTTTGCGAGGACCATTAGGTTAGCGCTCAACCGAGATTTTTTAAATATCTCGAAGCACAATCGTCTAGGATTTAACAGTTTGGAGAGTAATGCTTTGAAGGAAAGCAAGAAAGTGATAGAAACTAATAGACCACAGATCATACAAGCCAAAATGATCCCTCATTTATCAAGTAACTCCATCAACACTTTCTGTTCATACCCAAGTACAAATTAGAAGGTATTTCAACACCATGCACTTCATTAGTTTTGAACATGTATAAAAAATTCCTTCAGGAATTTGACTAGACAAACTTAATGTAGTGGTTTTCTATAATGAATATTGTCCATGAAAACTGACTTGTATATTAAGCACAACTCAGTCTCTACTCTACTGTCAAAAACAATATTGCAAGATGAAGCACAAAAGTGTGCTCATTAGATAAATTGGATTGTTGGCTTTCTAAAGTAAGCAACAACCAAAAGAAATTAACTCCGAACATTGTGTAAGAAGAGATAGGACATCAGTTCAAGAATGTTAACATCAGTTATCTCATATTTGCTTGTAAATTAACAACTGTGAGAGAGAAACAAGATAGATCATATACCAAGGCGGCAATTGTTTGAAGATCCAGATGAGCAGAACCTAAAAGGGTCCTCTTTCTAGCACATGATATTACCGATTGCCTCCTTTTTCTTCCCTCTTCATTCCAGCAGAATCAGTTACCCCATCATCTTCTGAAGTATCATTTGTCTCAAGTATCTTCCCGTCCTTCGGTACCAAGCATGGGATCCCGTCCTTTATCTATCAAATCCATTAGAAAGAACAAAATTGATAAACATCATATTATTTAGACAAATGGTGCCTAAACTAAACTCTACCATATATATCCTGGTGCTCAGCTCCAAACCCAATATTTCATCAACCTTGTTTACAACTCCACTTCGAACACAGTCCCTAGAACACTAGAATTGCCCATCTGGTGATCAGTGCTTAAAATTGCAGAGCGTGAAAATATTACCAATTCCAGTTCAGAAACAAGGTCAAGATTAGAACTTTTCGTTTCCTGTTAAATTATAGCCCACCCTTAAGCATTCAACAAATATTCAGATACTCAAATTCCCAAATTGAACTAGAAATCCACAGAAAGACTTCATAGCGCCCAAATTTAATATCATAAAGAATCAAATCATCAAACAAACATCAGAACTTACAGGGAACGAAACGCCGATAGCATCACTGATCAAAGAACCAGTTTTCTCGCAAACCCTATCCAAATACCCAAACAAACAATGTCAGCAAACATGATAGCCATGAAAAAAAACAAATAATCTTTACACAGTTACCATAATATAGGCCATGAAGAAGTACCTCAAGGGTTGCTTCGACAATGGGCACACCAGAATCTCAGAGAGAGTCTTGCTAATTCCACTCCCTGCATCTTTGAGAAGCGCTTTGCTCACTCTCACCATTTTCGCTTCTGTTTTAGTTTTTTAGGGTTTTTCTGCGTCACATTCAGCGCCAACTTCAGCACCCGCCGCCGTTTGTGGGTCTTCTCTTAAACGCAGCGTTTTTGTCTGTTTGGATTCGGTTAACAGATACCGTATTTCTCAAATCGAAAATCTACGGTAAAACATCTAATCAACTCAAATTATGCATAAAAATGTAATATTATCTAAATTATTTAAATATTTATGTTTAAATTCTAAAATTAGTAAGCGAATTAATTATTTAGCACATCACTCCCCTTATATATATTTTTAATAAATTATGATTCAAAAGTGCATTTTACAAACAGATATATAATTATCAAATCATAAAATTCAAATGTTTTTTATCAAGAAATCATGACCATTATTATCACTTGTCTTAATTTTAATGTACTTAGTTTCATTATTTGAAACGGTAGACATGTCATGATTTTAATATACTTTGTTACTTAAAATGATAGATATTAAAATGGTAGACAAAAATAAATAAACAAATAAACCATGGATGCCTTGTATATTTAAAATAACATGTCAAGTTTATATATATATTTTGGTAAAATGTCAAGTTTATATAAGCATTAAAAGAGTGTCTTAAGATAATTATTAGGAATTAAAATCGAGTAAATTCTCATCAAGAAGTTATGGCCATTGTTTTTACTCTCGCTAGTGGAATGAATAGAAATAACAAGTATTTTTACTTCTGCTAGCAAGATGAACAGGAATAACCGATATTTTTAGTTTTAATGGTAGGATGAACAAAAATAATCAAGACGTACTAGTACCATAGGTATAACATATCGAATGACATAGTGTTTTTACTCATTGTAATATAAATCAGGAAACATCACATAATCAGAGACAAATCAAGCAAGTGATCATATGTAATATAAAACAGATTTCTAGTTTTGACAAATATCTCAAAAAAATATACTGGTGATGGCACCCTTCAAAATTAGGCAAGTATCTCAAATAAAATCAACATGGCATGGCCAATTTTTATTTAACATAAAAAATAGATCTAAACAAATATGTGTCATACAAAAGTGATAAAATAAGTTTACTTTTTGTTCCACCACCATCTTAAAATATTTTAAAACATATTTTAAAACCTAAGTTTATAGATTTAAAGTAAAATTATAAATTTACTTACTTCACATTGTAAAAAATCGAAAGAATGCAAGATCTAAAATGATGAAGAAGGCCAATATACTAAACATGAATAAGGATAATTCTACCATTAAAAATTATGGATAGTCACTCTTAGAAATTTCATTGCTTTCAAACATATTGGTTTCAAATCTAAATGCTTACCACTTAACCATGCTTCTTACCCTTATCCTACCCGTGACCTTCACTAATTGGATTTCCATTCATAAAGAGACATTCATTCCCATGAAAGTCACAATGTTTTTAAGAACTATTTCAAAATTTACTAATCTCCATAAAGCAAAATTTTGTGCCTATTTGAACTCTAACATAAGGTAATTTAATTTCATAATCTGTTCATAAACATCCATTTACAATCTGCCCTTATCTTAATTCAAACAGTCTAAAAACATACTCTTCCTTAAGAATCAGTCCCTAATATTAACCCATCCGGCTACCCACTCAAGTAATCCTACTTGAATACTTCAAAACCAAACCTTACAACCAGAATTTTAAGGGTTGAAATTAGAGTAACAGGCTGTTTCATAGCAGATTTTTAGGTTTTGTTTGAACCAGATTTTAAGTTCTAAAGTACTCTACTAACAACCTTCTGTCTCATCTTTAAAAAGATAAATGACCACCCCAACACTACCAGAATTTGTAATTAAAAATTTAATGTTCAAGGGCTGTCATTCCCAGAGTTCACAAGGAAGAACCAGTTCTAAAAGCTGTCCAAATAGTGAGGTAACGCATGCACACAAACACACAACAGCACTAAACATGCTCTCACTTCCCTCTTGAAGCCACTGTTTACGCATTGTTTATTTATTTGTTTGAACAATTTGTAATTATTTACTAGATTAATTAGGAAAAAAGGCTTTCGTAGGGCTAAAACATGTAACTCACATGAGGTGAACATCCCAAACACAGGGTCTAATACCACTAAATCGAAGCGGCCGTTCATTTATTTATTTATTTTGTGTATTCTTTTATTTTGTGTATCCTTTTACTAGCCTTGTAAACCATCAAAGAATGATATTACATATCTAAATGAATAGAGTTTTGGTCTTATAGAAGTTTTAAACATATCAGAATTCCAGGAAAGGAGAGCAGGTCTGGCAGCTATTGAAATTGGCAGAATCGAAGGGGAAAACTATGGAAGATTACCCAAAGTTGAAGGAGACAAAGAATTAGAGTTAACCCAATTCAAATCAAAGATAAAGAGATGAATACGATGCTGATTTCTTACCAGAAAACTCAGAAGAACCCCACCCACACAACAGTAAATCACGGACAAACGAGGAACGAAATACAGCACCAAGCTCTGAAATTTTACTTCATATCTTGCACCGTTAGGAGGGATTCCTAGGTCCTAAATTGTTCTTTAATGAGAGGGAATAATCAAGTCCTTAACTTGATTAGAAGAAGAAATCGTGTTCTGGAAAGGAGGTAGGGAGGTCGGCGGCTTCAGGAGTCTAAAGCTGATCTGCGAAAGCGCATAAAGACGCAGGGAAGGGTTTAAGTTCTGGGTCTTTTAAACCCCAAAGATTGAAGATCTAGGCAGCTATGTCCTCTCATAAGAACCCCCATTTTTAAGGGGTATTACAGTTAATGGCGATGAGCAAATCGATTCTGGGAGAAGCATCAGAAAAGGTCCCAGATGAATGGCAAGAATATCCATGAGCGAAGTATTTCGATTAGGGCACACCATCTTCACAAGACCCATGTTGCTCCTCCCCTCAAAACCCAACAACATTTTCTCTCCATTTTCTTCTTCCACTGAAAGCAAAAGACTCTCTCTTTATCACCCAAGCCTCTCGGTTCTCAATTTGTGTCAAGAAATCAAGCATTTGTTCCAAATTCAAGCCTACTTGATCACCTCCGGTCTCTTCCGGAAACCAGTCTGGGGTGGCAAAGTTTTGAAGCAGTCTTTGGATTTAGCCGATATTGATTACACAGTCTCCATCTTTCAGTCTTTGGGTAATGCTGATATTTTTTGTGTCAATACTGTGATCAAGGGTTTCTCTGTTAGTTCAGTTCCACATCAAGCTCTAGTGTTCTATTTTCAAATGCTGGGAGATGGGTTTGTTCCAAATAGCTTTACTTTTGTTCCACTTCTTGGATGTTGTGCGAAGGTGGGTTGCATTGAATCTGCAAAGAAGTGTCATGGGCAGGCAGTTAAGAATGGGGTTGACTTTGAGTTAACGGTAGAGAACTCATTGATTCACATGTATGGTTGTTGTGGGGTCAATGAGTTTGCGAAGAAGGTGTTTGTTGAAATGTCACAGAGAGATGTTTTCTCATGGAATTCAATTCTAGATGCGTCTGTTAAAAATGGAGATTTGGTTATGGCTCATAAGCTGTTTGATGCAATGCCTGAGAGAAGTATAGTTTCTTGGAACATCATGATTGTGGGTTATTTGAAGGGTGGAAACCCTGGGTGTGCACTGAAACTGTTTAGAAGAATGGCAAAAATGGGAATAAGAGGGAATGAGTCAACCATGGCTGCGATTCTCAGTGCTTGTCGTAGGTCAGCTAGACTGAAGGAAGGAAGATCAGTTCACGGATTTCTCATCAAGACCTTGCACAAGTCAAATATAGTTCTTGATGCAGCATTAATAGATATGTATTCTAAATGCCAGAAGGTAGAATTAGCTCGTAGAATTTTTGATAAGACGGCATATAGGAATCTGGTTTGCTGGAATACTATGATTTTGGGGCACTGCATTCATGGGAATCCAGAAGATGGGCTCAAATTATTTGCAGAAATGGTGGGTGACAGAGGAGCAAAAGGGAATGGCATTTCTCCAGATGAAATTACTTTTGTTGGTGTTCTGTGTGCCTGTGCTCGAGCAGGGCTTTTAACAGATGGCAGAAATTATTTTGCTCAAATGATCCATGAATTTAGTGTAAAGCCTAATTTTGGACATTTTTGGTGCATGGCTAATCTTTATGCCAGTGCGGGCCTGGTTCAAGAGGCAGAGGAAATCTTGAGAAACATGCCAGTGGATGAAGATGTGTCGTCAGAATCATTGGTGTGGGCTAACTTGCTAACTTCATGTCGTTTCAGAGGAGATGTTGCTTTAGGGGAAAGAATTGCAACAACTTTGATTGAGAAGGAACCCAAGAACTTCTCGTACTATCAATTACTGCTGAATGTCTATGCAGTAGCAGGTCAATGGGAGGATGTCAAGAGGGTAAAAGAATTGATGAAGGAAAGAAGGATAGGAAGAATGCCTGGGTGTAATCTTGTGGATTTGAAAGAAATAGTTCACAATTTAAATGTGGGATTAAATGTGGGATCTTGCTGTGGAAACCTGATCAATCAAGGGTGTGGATACCATACTGGCTGAACTGGCTGAGAAACCATGCTTTAATACTGCTTCAGAATAACCTGCCACTGAAAGAGGAAGGATGAGAATTTTTTTTTGGTAGAAGGATGAGAAATTAAGAAGCCAGAAACAAGACATATACAGGTGATGTAGCTTTTCATTTTATCATTTAAACAAAAATTTCTCTCTCAAAGAGCTAGATTCATGCAAGGCTTACCTGCTTACCATGCAATTTATTTCAGTAGTTGTAGGAAATTAGAATTTGTTGCTCTTTGGAAAATATTTGAAACACATCCTGATTTGATTCTGGTCTGAGTATCAATTTTTTCAAAGATTACAGTGGTGGATTTTTTCTTTTTTCTTTTAGTGATTTTGTATTTATACAGAATTTTGCTGCATATCAATAAATTTTGTCAATTTCATTCTGGAGTTCACATGCAATGCAAATGCATTTTTACTTTCTAGATGAGAATAACTGAGATGCTGGACAATATACATCTTGGTGAGCCTGAACAATGCAGGAATTCAAGGACAAGGTCAAGGAGTGAGAATGAACACCATCACCACGGATAAGATCTGAGCATCAAGATTCAGAATCAGGCAAGAAGCAGAAGTGCAGTGACACAAATTGACTGCAATAAGCTTGCTTTTATAGCGAATCAATATGGTTTTGGCCCTGATTCTTGTCTCGACCTAACCACATTGGTTTATTTTTTGAATGGAGAAACATCATCCAAATTCGCCTCCGATCTAAAAGCTTGACCAATTCTAGTCCGGTGCCAACCTCAACCCATGATTAGTCCGTAATGTGTAGGTCAATTACCAACAGGATAGTTAATCGGCGATTAGCCTATAACATACAGAAGTTCTGCAATTGCAAAGAAATCAGCTTAGATTGGTCCATTTCGTGGCTAGGCTTTTCTCCTAGAACCCTCTAACTCCCCTTCGAGAGGATATTATGTAATCCCGTTTGTGAGGAGAATTGTGGTTCATAGTATGAACTCTGCTCTTGGGCACACACAGCAAAAAGTCCCAATTCTCGAAATAATACTTGAAACGAAAACCCACTATTACTATTGAAAATTAGTCTATGATACAACATGTGCTGAATTTAAGAGAAAGAAAATTTTTTACAAACAGGTAAATTCATGGGTCAAAATCCCACTTCAAGCTCCATATGAAGGTGGCAACTAGCCACTACTTCTATCTTCAGCCATATAATTCTCCAAACAATCAAATGGACCCTTCAACTGGTGTCTTATGATTCCATAAATTGTGTGGGTGGAGGGCTTGTTCTTGTCTTCTCCGGACCTGCAAGTTGGTTTTGCATCAAAGCTTAGGCATGTTTCCTTTACATTTTTTATTAAATTCAAGCATTTTTGCTAGCTAACAAAAGAACAATTCAACTTAAGGGAGAAGGAAATTTCCAAAAGCATCACAGAACACAATTAGGCATTTATAACCTTAGGATTACAATCATCAAATCAACAGAATATACCATAAACCCCACGGATCTCCACTTCTCGCCATTCTTGGACAAGAGCACAGCAGCAACACATCAAATGGGAGAGGAAATCATCAATAAATCCTCCCTGTCAAAAAGAAGTTCAGTAGTCTGTTAGGTAAGCCAGAAAAAAAGGATCAAAACCAACTCTTGACTCTTGAGAACTGCTGTCACTCTTGTATGCAGAACCAAAATTTTATTTTAGCTAACAAAAATTAATTGGAGTTAACTATTAAGATGAATGATATTCATATCAAGAATATCTAGATAGGCGGAGATGAATGAAAAGGAAAAAAAAAAGGGAAAAAGCTAGAAGAACGAGAGTAAACTATAGGATCTGGTTTAGGAGTATCTTTATATTAAATCATAAAACGATTTTGCCAGGTGGAGTTCAAATATGCATGTCAAAAACATATATTTAGATGGACCACAGTATTCTGGCAGCAGAGAAGATACTGTAATGTTCAACATCTGCCGGAGCTTCCTTCTAACGCAGCAAGTATAACAGCAGCATGACAATATCAGCGAATATGCCATCAAATCATTACATGCTTCTGCAGAAGCTGATGATCATGGGTAGAAAGTTATTCCATAAGCTTTAATGTAATGTTAAAATCAAGAAAAAAATTAATTATATCGCCATCGGTGTATATTACCAACTCATGAAATAATTGATTAATTTTAAGCAAACATTTGCAACTTAATAGAACTTAAAATATGATTTAGCCTACTTACACATATGCCTGTTGGTTGCCACGGTAGCAATCTTTGAAAATGTGCCACAAGGACAGAAGAATGTCTTTATGCCTGCAGTGTGGGGAAAAAAATAAGCTGCTTAGAAGAGAGGATTGGCGATTTTGGAAAGGTCAGTTTGCAGAATATGTTCCTCCTGCTTTTCAAAAATGGAGAGGAACATGGAAGTTCAAAAAAGAATTCTCTAGGAGCTGAGCAAACTTTAATGGTTCGATCTTATCAATTGGAAGGAAGGTATATCATAGCAACATAAAAGGCCATACACAGTGAAGGTTCTGAACAACATCCAAGCAAATCAGTGTGCCATTCTTCGCCTCCATGAGAAACTTTATTCGACAACAGATCTTTCCCTGATGAAACAGAAGATGTATTTCTGCAGAAAAAGTAAGCATATGACTTTCAAGCACCATCCTGACCAAAAGAACAAAGACTTCAAATGCATTTCAGGGGACTTACGATCCCACTAATTGGTCAACTGAAATGCCACATCCATTGCACGATGTAATTTACAGGAGTAACCAGAGTATCAAAGAATTAGCAACTACATCTTACATTAGACATTCAGAGCCCAACCATCCCACATCTGAAGTCTAAGCTTATTACACATAATTATGTGGTACGTGGTAACTGACCTAAAACTGACTGGAGATTTTCTCTTATGAATTTTAGCAAACATGCCAATTTGATGGCCTGTCTCATAGCCCAATGCTATATGGCAAAACGAGGGCAGGGTAATAAATAAACTTGGATCTAGATGGTAACATTATCTGTTTAGACAAGAGACGATCAAATAAAAGGAAAACTAACCGGGAAGTAGTCCGACTACTAAATTTATTAGGAGAGCTATCATCAAAAGAAAGATTGTTTTTGCTGTTGGCATCTGAATGCTGAGTGTTGGCAGCTGCAGCTTCTGTGACGTCAAGCAAATGCTGAATTACTTGACATTGCCCCACATCATAATTAGATTGTGACCGTTCCAGTTCTAGTTGAAGTTTTTCGTTTTCCTTTTGCAGTGCTTCATTAAAACACAAGCTTGGATATGAACAAGAAAGAGTCTTTTTCAAAATGATAGCATCATTTCTTGAAGGGTCTGGTTTCATGATAACATCTTGCACCTTTCTGTCATCATCGTCCAGTGTGTATTCACGTTGATCTTTCTCAATATCTTCCAGCCTCTCCTGGACATATGAAGAAACTAAAAATTAGTAATGCATGCAAAGTAGAAATCTGAAATAAGCAACAGAAAAATCAGTGCTCTGACAAAAGCTAACAACAGAACTAATTTACATACTAATGATGTATAAAACAAATAAACAATATGCTTGTAATTTTACAAATGTTAATCGGGCCATCAAACTCCCATTAGATTCATGACATCACCTTAAACTTCAAAGCATAAATCAAGCAGAACAACATTTCCACAGACCTGCTTCCTTGCATTCCAGGACTTAAATATAACTTGACATTATTATATCATTGTTATGCTATATTTGGATTTGAGTCGGTTAGATCAAGCAATCTTGATTATGCATCAAAATTAAAGATTAAATTTGAAAAGTTAGTGTCTTAAATTGAAATCTTGGGCTAAAGAAATTAGAAAGAACTGGACAGGAATTAAAGATGAATTTGTCATAAAAAGTAGCAAAATGCAGGAAAATAACAAGCAGCTAAGGAGAGAAATATGTACACATGTAAACTTCTGCATCAAACATCTAGAAAAGCTATGCATCTTCAATCATCTTCTCCCCAAATTATATCCTCAAAATGATTTCAAAATCAAGCAAATACCATTATAAACAGTTAAATCTGTTCTCATGAAGGGAGAAAAACTGAGGCTAGAATAATCAGTACCCTAACTCGAGCATTATCCACCAGAGTGATGAGGGGAACAATCTTCAAATATCGGTCAATCTCATTCTGAGCCTTCCTAAACTGATAGACGATGTTCCAACCCATGGCAAGCAAATAGAGATAGCTTCTGTCCTGGCAACTATTGACCAAAATGTAAGCCCTCCTAAGTGCATCCTCAAGCTGCTCCAATGGTTCCCGTGTCTCTGGGTACTTCTTAAGCTCCGATATCTTTAGTTGCTCGAGTAAGCTCCCTATCAACTTTATATGCTGCGCAAATTGCCTGCAGTTCTTCTTGTGCATCCGTGCTGTGTTTGCAGCTTTCACTATTAGCCCAATTAGCCTCACGGCATCAAGACCCGCAATCTGGGCCAAACTTGCAACATCTCCTAAATGATCCCACGAAGCCATCCTCACCTCTCAAAATCAGAGTAAATCCTGCGCGCATGAAGCACGAATTCTCATTTCATTACTTATGATAAACCAGGTTTTTGTAATTAATCAAACAATTTCGGCGGTTCCAGACACAAACGTTTAAATTAATGAAAAAGACATCGAGATTTAGAGATTTTCACGTTGGCTTACCTCTTTTTAAACCAAAAGTTACAGCATCACAGAACTCCAAGATTCAGAACAGGTTTCTCCACCAGCGTTTTTCAACAAAAGCCACACCTAATTCCAGAGATGAATCGGAGACACGCTTCTGATGCCGGAGAAAAGCCGCGGATAACTCCAT